TTTTTTTTTTTTTTTTGTACTGGGGATCAAACTCAGGACCTTTGGCTTGTGCTTGTGAGGCAGACAGCGGCAGCAGGGCTGAGTTAAATCCCCCGCCCCGGGAAGGGGATTTTTTAAAAAAAGTGTTCAAGAATCCTCAACTTTGTAATGTTTTACTTTTAATGCTAACTAAAAAGATAAACATTAGGTCTAAAACTATCAACAGTATTTACTTCTAAAAATTGGTGTTTCTGTGACAAGTGAGGCAGGCTGGATTTTTCCTTTTCACTCTTCCTGTTTGTTTTGGCAGTGCTGGGGATGGAACCCAGGGCCTTGCATATGCTAGGCAAGTGCCCTAGCTACACCTCCAGCCCAATTGTGTTCTTAGTTTCTAAAAAATACATATATTAATTTTATAATTAAACCACCAAGAGCCAAAAACCAAAGGCAACAATTTGGACAACAAAGAAAAACAAAGTTAAAAGTCTGCATAGTCCAATCCAGCTTCTTATAAACCACAGGAATTCAGCACTGTCCTTGTTAAAGAGAAGGAAGCAGGACAGTGGGTTAAAAGGTGGGAGGACTGGGCTTTGAAACTGAAGCTTACATAAGTAGAAAAAGAAAACATTTCTCAAAATAGAGCTAGGATATGTCACACAAACTTTCAGAGGAAAAAAGTATCTCAACAAATGAAACACATTTTTTAAAAAGAAGTCTATAAAGAGCTCTCCCAGTTTGCCAACCTCTGGCTCTACTTCAAATCAATACCACAAAATATTTAGCAACATTATACATTTAATCAGGGTCAGCTTGGCTCCTGACTTGGCAATGTACTCAGTGAAAAAAACTCCACTCATACTCTACTTCCCTCTCTCACGGACTTGGCTCTCACGCCTTGCCTGGCCATCGTAGCCTGGAGTGTGGCACTGCGAGTCTGGTGCGGGCACGCTACTCTCCTTCTTGAGCGCAGGTGTAGGGAGGGACAAACTCATACTCCACACCTTCAGTCTGTGGTGTTAGTTTTTACAACATGGTGGCTGCGTGGAGGTCAGAGGAGACGTTCTCTTTATGATGTCACAGGGAGTGAGACTGTGAGGACACCAAGGCATCCCCAGGGCTGGGGGCTCGGAATCCTGGTTGCCCAGCTTCTGTAAGGAGCCAACAGAAGGAAAGGGAGCAGCTGAGGGCTTTGCTTGAGAGAATAAAAAAAGCACCCAGCCATTTTGAAATAGCTCACTTATTACATTTATAAGGAGCCTTTTGGACAATGTTTGATAACAAAAGAGAGCCTGAAGATATCATCTACTTTCATTTTCTTGGGGCTGATCTAGATCTAAGCTTTACCAAATCGATATTAATGATCACACCCTTGGGACAAAATTTTAACGACGAAAGAAGCAGAGCTAGAAGGGTGTGCGCTTGTTATGTGTTGGAGGGGAATCACTGACCATAAAAGCAGAAAAAAGTGCTGGAATTCATAGAAAAGACAACTTAGGCTGATGACATTACAGTTTTCCCCACTATTAGAAGAAATACCTTGAAAAAACTATTGAACTCTAGAATAGCTTTATCAATAATGACAGTAATATTTATTCTTACTGCCTGCTGGGCCCTAGGCATTTTTTTCTTTACATATTTTCTCAGAGCATTTAATCACAGCT